TTTTGGCTATTCTCCGTAATGCTAACCCCTGCCACAGCGTTCAATGATCGAACAAATTCAGCAAATTCACTACGACGTACTCGTCCATTTCCATGTATATCACACATAGCAAATAGGAGTTTATACTTGTCCCTCATTTTACCTGAAATGTCCATAAAAAGTTCTAAAAATGTCTCCAATCATTTAGGGAGCCTAACCTTCATTGAATTGTTTCAGGACTTCCAAAAATTCGGCAAATGTGATAACATCGCTGTCGGTTCGAGAAGTGACAGCGAACATTCGCTCTACGAACACGTCATTTTCACGCATTCCCATCGCTTGTGCGAGTTCACTCCTAAAAAAATAAGGTTACCCAGCCGAATGCCAATTTAAAGGGAGGATATCTACTTGGTGATGGTTTGGTTTAATATATCGTCGCTATCATGTTCCCTATTTGTGGCGTCACTAAGTTTGGGTTGATCGAAAGCGCGGGCATAGGCTTCACGGAAGAAATGATCCAAACGTTGTTGACGGCGTTCCTGAAAGAAGGTGAAGCAATGAAAAGGATGGTACTGTAAGCTCTTTTGAAAGGCGTGAGCCCTGAATCATCAGGTAATGGTAAATATCAGCCATTAAAGGCGAATAAAACCAAACTTTCAATTAAAACCTCCCTTTATTATTCTTTAAAGACTATCTGAATTAGTTTCAGATAAATCAAAAAACACAAAATTTTGACATACAGCTCGTTAGCTACCATTCATTTTGGTTTATATTAGCATTTTGCATGTGTAAATTAATTTCCTTAGTCCTTTCCCTTTATGTGCAATTATTTTACCTTAGTTTCTGCCTTTTCCAGAAGCACTTCATTCGGAGTGGCTATAGATGTGACTCTTCCGTCGAACTTCTTCAAACACAAGGTAAGCGCAGCTAAGAACTCTGGTAAATGTTTGTCAGATGGTAGTCGCAATACCTAAACACTATTGCTAAGGTTCAAGTCTCATCTTAAGTAGCGAGATTGAACCTATAGGGGGATAAAAATTGTTCAATTACCAAATCGTGCGTCTTCTTCAGTTTTATGAGGCAGTAAGGACCATGAATAGTGGAAGCATTAGGTTCGCTGTGATACACTGTGATCTGAAAGTATATATGATCAATTTTCATAAAACTAACTTCCGAACTGCATAGACATTTGTTTAACCATAAACTCTAAGGTCACAAGGCTTACGTCTGCATTTTCCGGGAAGATCATCTTCCTCAAAATCTGCCCTCGTGGTTTCCTCACAGTAAGAATACCAGGCGCAAATTCCACTATCACTTGCCGAACGTAGCACTCGTCCAACCATTCAAAAGCTAAAGGGTAAAATTTTATTTTTCTATAAAATTCCGCAATTGGATGGGTAAGAAATCAGAATATGTTCTTACCTTGAATAGAGTATCGATCCTTGGGTGCATCATCGTCGACAGCCGTTGCGGAAAGATCATCGTATGATATGTCCCAACCCATACGACGACGACGTTGGATTAGAATGTAGCCGATGCCAAAGCAGACTAAAATTAAGGCAAAAGAATGTAGAGCAGATATCATTACGAAGCGAATTCGCTGCCTTTGAATAAAGTAGATATCTATTCACCTAACTCGTACTTTTTTTCAAGTTTGCTATTTTTTAGCACTTGCCCTTCTTAAACGCATTTTTGAACGAATCCTTTAGAACATAAAATTGGATCATTTAGCTATAAAATGTTTTTTAACCATAAAATTCCATTCCTGTTAGTCTAATCAAAGCGCAGCACATTTTGACACACACCCGTTTACCTCCTCGCTCACCCATTATTGAATTGCCTTAATTCAACTAACTAAAGATACAATAAAGGCAATAAAAAAAACTACCAGCATCGGAGGGAAAGCGAGAGGAATTGGAAGAAAATCAACGGTACATCTTGCGACTCTTTTGGGCTACCTGTACCCTTTCCATATTTCACTTCCCGAAGACAATCCCAACTGTCCAAAAGAGTTTTTCTTAGTTCTGCGATTGTTAATTTTTGTGACTTTGCTCTCAGTCAAATCATATATAAGATTGACCATAGCCAATAAACAATGGCCTATAAGAAAACCTACTCAATGGTATGCATCCAAGTCCAATGAGTGTGAAAATGTAGGTGACTTCATTTCCAGTGAAATGGTCGAATCGCATAAACGGAATGCACTGTTCCAGACCTGAACACGACATTCTGAACACTCAATAATTAAAGAAACAGACTTTATTTTCAGGTAAAAACTACCTGTTTC